CCCTTGGTAAACAGTCCCCTGTCATGTTATATGGCAAAAAATACTCAAATATCGAAAAAGTAAAAATGAAATCGGCTGTTTATTTATTATGATTAAACTGATAGTTTTGTAGGCTTTGCTAATTTTTTTCCTAATAAAATCAAAAATAATTTGGTCGGACAATTTTGTACAGCTTTAAGACGTCCTTACAGAGAATCACCATTTATGAAAAATATATCAAAAATGCATTTGGGTACTCAAATGAAAGCTCTTGATGAGTGTAACATCAGGATGAGCTTATATCTTTAAAAACGTCAATAGTTAAAAAAGTACAGTGCAATTTAACAAAAGTTATTATTTAATAAAGCAAATTTTATTTATTTGTAGTTCACAAGTCACGGCGGTCACATAGTGACTGCAAAGTTGCTAGTTTTAATAAAATAAATTCATACTTTTTTAAGGGAGAAAAAGCAATATGGTCACCGTGGACCGGAATTGTCGACTGGGGAGACGTGTGTCGTTATTTTGCTTCTCAGTTTGAAAAGATGGGTGGCAAAGTTATTTTAAATTATGAAGTTACGGGCTTCGCTGAGAATGCCGAGTCTCAAGACCACAAAAAATTTCTCCCTATTTGTGTGATGTCCAAAAATAAAGTGAGTAATTGATTTTTAAAGCTAGTTGCTCATTTATTCTCATATAAAAAATATTTGACAGATGATACACACAAAATACGTGCTAACATGCGCGGGCTTACACTCCGATCGGCTGGCAGTAATGACTGGGTGCGACTTTAGTCCCAGAATAATTCCATTCCGCGGTGAATATCTTCTGCTAGATGAAAATAAGAAGCACCTGTGTAAAACAAATATCTATCCAGTGCCAGATCCAAGTCTTCCGTTCCTTGGGGTTCATTTTACTCCAAGAATCAACGGTGACATTTGGCTGGGTCCCAATGCTGTCTTGGCTCTCGCCAGAGAAGGATACAGGTTTGTTATTTTATCGACGTAAATATTATTGTTACCATAACTTTTATTATAATGCAGCTGGACTGACATAAACATAAGAGACTGTATCGAGATGGCCAAATCTCCAGGACTTTACAAACTCTGCTTTCGGTATATTGTTCCTGGATGTAAGGAAATAGTTAAGTCGCTCTTTTACTCGCTGGCTGTCAAGGACTTGCAGAAATTCATTCCAGAGCTCACGCGCAATGATATTAAAAAGTACGTATGTTAATCTATATTATTAAGAGAATAAGCAAAATTTTATGGCCAGTGTATTTATATGATAAAATGGATTTTTATGGTTAAATTTGGTATCGTTGGAAAAGTCTTGACCTGGAGATGTGCCTTTTCAAGGTTTCCTACCTTTGTATCTTTGTATCTCGTGAACTATTGACATTTTTAAAGATATAAGCTCATCCCGATGTTACACTCATTAAGACCTTTCATTTGAGTACCCACATCAATTTTTCATATATTTATATGCATTATATATATGTATATATGAAAAATATATCAAAATGCATGTGGGTACTCAAGTGAAAGCTCTTGATGAGAGTAACATCGGGATGAGCTTATATTTTTAAAAACGTCAATAGTTAAAAAAGTGCAGTACAATTTAACAAAAGTCAATATTTAATTAAACAAAATTTTATTTTAAAATTATTTAAATTTGATATTCTGAAATTTGAGAAATAACACCAGTTAAACATTTTTTTTTTTTCAAACTAAATGTGATTTAAAGTTTTTTTTGGCACTTACGTTTTAGAATAACAAGCTTAGTTTTTAAAAATATAAGTCTGTTTTTCCACGCAATCACTTGTGTCATTTTTTTCACATGTTAGATCAATTAGACTAAAAATATTATTCTCAAAATAATTATTTAGAGCGCGTTATTTAAACTTAAATCTGTTTTATAAAATAAATAAATTAATTAAAATTATTAACAGGGGACCTGCTGGTGTAAGAGCCCAAGCAATGGACGACGATGGTAAACTAGTCGACGACTTTGTATTTGATAACGGAGTTGGAAGTATCGGTAGTCGAGTACTCCATTGTCGAAACGCGCCATCACCAGCTGCGACAAGTAGCATGGCCATTGCTAAACATATTTGCAATAAACTAGAAAAAGACTTTAAATTCTAGCATTAATAAATAATTATAAGAGGTGAAAAAAACTGATTTTTTATAAATAAAAAGATAATATATTTTATTAACCACGTCTTGAATTTACTTTTAAATATAGACTGATTAGATATATATAAAACAATATATACACTTTATTTTACAGATATAATTTCTTTTTACTATACAAGTAATAACTATTCCCAGTTGACTGAAAAAAATTACACTAATTATTCGTTGTATTGACAAAAGTCATCGGTGATATTTGATTGCGAGCAGAATAATCGCGGATAGTATGAAAATATACTGCACGTTAATCACCAGTAATTGTACTTACATATGTACATTGTACAATATATTTATTTTATAAATATTTACTTATTACTCAAACAATTCTCAGACCTCTGGTAGATATTAATAGCCTCCGTTCAGCAAAATCCCATGCTGCTGTTAAATGGAACAGCATGTTGGTCATAACGACCATGTATTCTGAGAAAGCGAACATTGAGTAAACTGAAATAATAAATGTTTATTGAATATCGGTACTGATAACAACGGTTGTATAAAATTTTAAGTGTAAATACCAAAAGGTTCGCAGTATCGATTGTGTCTCCAGAAGAAATAACAAGCTGATAAAATTGATATGACGTTCAGAAGCATAGCTCGAACTTTTAAAACACTTGATTTTGATTCAGAGGGATCTCGAGGGGTACTTCGGCAGTTTTTGCATATATAAGTTGCTACCATCATATGCACGAAAGACATTAACAAGAATGTGATAAAGGATAATTTGTGGAAAGCTGAAAAATATTAATCTATATTATTAAGAGAATAAGAAAAGATTTGTGTCCAGGATAGTCATATGATAAAATCGGTTTTTTTAGTGAAATTTAGTGTCATTGCAAAGGTCTTGATTTGAATTTGAGCCTTTTCAAGGTTTCATATCATTCTCACCGATAGCGAATTTATTATAAGTATTTAGACTACATTAAAAAATGCTCTAGATACAAGATTAAGCAATGACTTTGTATCTTGTGAACTATTGACATTTTTAAAGATATAAGCTCACTCCGACATTACACTAATCGAGACCTTTCATTTGAGTACCCACATCAATTTTTCATATATTTTATATATATTATATATATGTATATATGAAAAATATATCAAAATGCATGTGGGTACTCAAATGAAAGCTCTTGATGAGTATAACATCGCGATGAGCTTATATCTTAACAAATGTCAATAATTAAGAAATGGCCTTGTATCTCGTGAACTATGGACATTTTTAAAGATATAAGCTCACTCCTACATTACATTCATGATCTTGTGACCTACATTACATTCATGATCTACATTACATTCGTGATCTTATAGCCGTGAATTCTTCAGCTGAGTTTCAGACGTTGTGTTACAAATTAATTTTTGATAAAGACATTAGAACTGGAGAGTCAATAATAATAATAATCGTTTATTTATTTATGTGATTAAAATGTTATTCAAAATTTTGTATTCAAACTACTTTTCAATTTTGTATTCAAATTCTTTTTAATTTTGTATTCAAATTACTTTCTAATTTTGTATTCAAAGTACTTCCTCACTATGTAATACTATTAAATTTCTACGGCCTTTAAGGAACGTCAGTTCTAGGGCCGAATTTCTTCAATAAATAAATAAATAAATAAAATAAATTCATCGAAACCTTCTATTTGAGTACCCACATCAATTTTTCATATATTTTATATATTTAGATATATGTATATATGAAAAATATATCAAAAATGCATGTGGGTACTCAAATGAAAGCTCTTGATGAGTGTAACATCGAGATGAGCTTATATCTTAAAAAATGTCAATAATTAAGAACTGACTTTGTATCTAGTGAACTATCGACATTTTTAAAGATATAAGCTCACTCCTACATTACATTTATCGAGACCTTTTATCTGAGTACCCACATCAATTTTTCATATATTTTATATATTTATATATATATATATGTATATATGAAAAATATATCAAAATGCATGTGGGTACTCAAATGAAAGCTCTTGATGAGTATAACATCGGGATGAGCTTATATCTTAAAAAATGTCAATAATTAAGAACTAACTTTGCTATCTTGTCAACTATTAATATTTTTATATATTATAAATTAAATTATTAAATTTTCAATTTATTTGTAAATACCGTAGTTTTGATTAGAAGTCCAGAAGCTCAGTGTAACCAATGAAATATTTTCAACAGCATAACTAAACAGCGCAATGTTAATAACTCCTTGCGCCCATCTGTATGTAGTTTGTTGATAATAGTAATAGTACATAACAAATATTAAAGCTCTAATAACTGCTTGGATAGCAATTGCTGTTTTCCAAACATCTCTCTGCGGTTCATAGTGACCAATAGCCGCAGATATTGACGGCAAAACGTTGTATACCTATAAAATAAATATAATTATTACAAAAAAATTATACAAGTACTTATCTATTTTATAAATATTTACTTACATTGCAGTGAGTTGAAGTAGCATGTTCAAAGTTATAAGTAACGGACCACACAACACAGAAAATAAATCCAAAAAATGGTAGCGCGACCGTGAACCACGCTAGTTTTTTAAACGGAATGACTATTCGATAACGCGGTGCTTCTTCATCAATCAGCGGAATATAATCCGAATTTAAGCGCATTCTATTCATGATTTTTTATAAATAAAATGTTCTTTTTTTTTTTTTCTATTTAATAATTAAATATATAAATATTTATTAATTATTATCATAAATTAACTTTTCTCTTTTCTAACCTACTCCGAATGAATACCGTGTCGTCATCACATGAATTAATGTCTTATCAGCGGACATTAATAAATTCTTTAATGAAGATTCAGTAAATTGTTGATAACATGACAGCCGATGGACTCATGGTTATCAAAACAACTTATAAATAAACTTTTAATACTTTTAATGATCACAGACAGAAAAAATCTACACAAGTGTTTTGATTCAATAATTTATACTAGTAATTTTTTTTTATATAAAATTAACTATGATTAAACTTATTAATTGAGGTTAAATTGACAACCACAAATATTTATTAAAATATTAAAGATTACTCTTAAATAGTCTTCGCACAATAGTATTACTTACTGAGTAATTTTTAAGTATTAAAAAAATTTATTATTATTTAAATAACAAAAGCTCATTGCGCTTTTGACGTACTTTTATATGAGTTACCGATGACATAAACATTTAACTCGTCTTAAAACTAAAAAATAACATGGAAATCATTTTAAAGTCAGTGTTAATTTTTTTTCACATTAAATTAACCATTGTAAATTATTTTTTTAATTAATTTTAAATAATTAATCACAGAAATAAAAAGTATTTTTTATTTATCAAATTATTTCTTGACACTAAAAAGCGATCAGCTGATATTTTGGTGTTTAAATGTCAAAATGCTGCCCTCTAGTGAATAATGTGAATAAAATAGATTAAAATGAAGTTAGCCGACATTTCAAAATTTGTTATTTTATTAAAAAAATTTTAATTAAAAATCTTAAAAAAAAATTGCACATGTAAAAAACTTAAAAAACTATAAGTGCAATTTTTTAGAAAAATCTTTTTAGTTGTAATTTAATTAATAAAAAAAATCAAAAATTTTTAGACGTCTGCTAACTATGAAAATTAATGAAAATAAAATTAGCTGACATTTAAAAATTTTTAGAATTTTTTTTTTTATTGAAAATTGGTAACAAAAAAATTAAAAAAAAAAATTTCACTTGTTAAAAACTTTAAAAACTATAAGTGCAATTTTTTAAAAATATTTTTTTAATTATAATTTAATAAATTAAGCAAAATTAAAAAATCAAAAGTATCGGCTAACTTTATTATTATTGAAAATTAAGTTAGCCGACATTTGAAAATTTTAATAATTTGTTTAGTAGAAAAATATTTTTTTAAAAATTAAAAAAAATTTTTTACATGTAGAAAATTTTAAAAATTATCCGTAGAATTTTTTAAAAATAGTTTTTTAGATCTAATTTTTAATTAAAAAAAAAATCAAAAATTTTTCTGTCGGCTTACTTAATTTTCAATTGCTAATAACTTCAGTGTCATTAAAATAGTACTAACAGCTGACAAGGAAAATTTCAATATTAAAAAAGTAATTTTTAGTAGAATCACTAGATGGCAGCACTTATTCATCGAAATTCGAGTAATCAGCTGATCGTAAAATTCTGTTTTGGTATTTGTGAAAATAAACGTTTTTATGCGTTTAGTGTTAAATTTTATAAATCTTGCATATTTATTTGTATAATTTATTATTATATATTTTTAAAGTGTGTGAGAAAATTTTTTAATTCTAAATATTAGTATTTAAAGTAAAATATTAGTATTTTACAAAAATAATAATTATTATATATCTTTAAGGTTAAGAGTGTTGTTTACTAAAATTGTAAACCAAAGACAATTTTAAAATAAAAATCATCAATTTTTCTTCAAAAAAATGTAAGTAATTAAATATGATATTTTTTTTAAAATAAAAAAAAAAACTTCCGCTCTAAATTAAAAAGAAAATTAGCTTGTAAATAATGCTCTGTATGTCACATTATTTTGGTACACATATAAGTAAATAACTCGAGTTAATGTATTCTTCTTTATGACTCGCGTGTGGTTTAATTTTTTTTAATTTAAGGATTTTGTTTCTATTCTTGCGACATTTTAAAAGTGTATTTACACTTGTTAATTTTTTTTGAACAATTAAAGAGTCGAAATAAATAACAGCATTGCATTATTGCTTTTATATTTATATAAAAGTGGACTAGTATCAGCTGAATGAAAATTGGACGAAGCTAATTGCATTTTCAAAATCATAAACCATCAGTTTATTTTGGTACTTACAAAAAGAGTAAGAATTTTATGAAAATTAATTTAGCAGACATTTGATAATTTTAAGAATTTTTTTAACAAGTAAATTATAGTAAAAAATAATTAGAAAAAAAATTGACATGTAGAAATTAAAAAAAAATAAAAAATGCAATTTTTTATAAATAATTTTTTGGAACAAATTTATTTGTTAAAAAGAAATAAAAAATAGTCAAGTGACTGCTAACTTTAATGTCATAGAATTTTTCAATAATCGATAAAAATATTAAATACTATCCAATATATTTCATTCATAAATTCAGCTTTTGTTTTAAATTAATAATTCAATAACTCCGAAGTAATTCAACAATTTCCTATTTTTATTTATAAAACGAAGACCCTCTAATAGATTTTAAAATTTTTTCTCAGCCCGTCACTCAACGAACCCTCAGATTTTTTATAAATTTATCAAAAAAATATCAACTTACACGGAGAGAAATGGATGGCGTTTAACACTATGTCAGTATGGTCTCCAGACCGATACTAAAATAGTATGTGTAATATTGCGATTCAGTATTGTAACGAGTCCCATAAGTATGGCGTTATTTACTATGTAGTATAGTAATGATGCTATTGTATATTTTACACGTATGCATAGCAGGCTTGGCAAGACAGTATGGTCCTGAGACCCATACTATATTGCTGATGACGCAAGGGTACTAGCGGTTCCCGCTATAATTTTTGGCGTGTTAAGCAATTAAACTCTTGTGTTACCACCAAAACAACACTGACGGAAAGATTTGTTTTTATTTAATAAGCTTTATTAACTGTTAATAAATGATTTTGTAACATCATAGGATTTAATAAATATTTATTAAAAGTTAAAAAATTATTTATTAAATACGATTTATTAAATGTTAATAAATATTTGTTAAGAGTTAACGAATATTTATTAACAGTAAATAAATATTTATTAATGGTTAATGAATATTTGTTAACTGTTAACAAATATTTATTTAAAATAAAAAACAAAAATAGTAATTTTCTTTTGACACTTCTTATGATTCTATAGCTGAAATACATGATAATAATTCAATTCACTAAATAAATTAACGATTTCAATATTTAAAAATATAAAAGATAATTATGAGCTGTGATAGAATTTGATATTTTACAATAAACGTTATTATAATGTAATATAATTAATGCAAATAATTTATAAAGATGATTTTTGTTTATAAACAATCTTCATATCATATGACATTACAAGGGAAACAAATTTACTCAAAAAAATATTTATCAACTGTTAATAAATATTTGTTAACTAATAAATAAATAATTAACTATTCATCAATGTACTTTCCTCCCAAATAAATATTTATTAAATGTTAAAAAATTGTCTTTAAATAAATTAAATTATTAATAGTTAATAAATCCTTCTATCAGTGTATATAAGGTAAAAGACCCAGTTATTGACACTGGCCTAGTTATTCACACTTGAAATTTTATTTTAATTAATTAAAACAAATCGACTCTAATATTGTCGTAACATTACTTGTAACATTAATTGTCAGAAAATATAATTTAAAGTAGAGCTTGACGATCTACGAGAGCTCTTTGACCTCGCATGTCTAATAAATCAAACCTTTTTTTTACGATCAATTTAAAAAAAAAGTAATTTTTAATCCACGAAGACGATTTATCGAGATTAACGAATGATTGAATCTTAAAACCAATAAGTCAAAAGTTAAATTTAGTTTTAAAAAAGTTATACTCTGCAATAATCTCTTGAACCATTTATTCAATTAATCTCACAATTTAATAAGTTTCAGCGATAATATCTTTAATTTTTTACTGTCACAATTTTTTTCAAAGCCACTGACTTTGAAAACTGTATTAATAAGTAGTAGCTGCAAAAATAAATATTTTTTCGCATTTAAATAAATCAATTATTCAATTTTAGCGTATTTAAATATCAGAATAATTTTTGAATATTCATTATTTGCGATCGCTCTAAAAATAACACTTCTTATCTATCACAAGCGTGACATACACTTTAAATAAAATCTAAAATATTGAAAAAGTATATTTTAATATTTTTTTAACAGGCTACAAAAATTTAATATCAATTCTACTTTTAAATAAAAGTAAAAACTTTCTGCATTTTTATTTTCTCGTAAAATTTTAATAGAAAATTTAAGCTGCAATGTAAAAAGCGAGTCATTTAAGTCAAATAGTCGCAATGTGAGCTTATGTCGCATTTATACGAGCCCTAGTGCGAATGTCATGTAACGCGACCCTTAAAGCAAACTTTGTAAATTTAGGAATGTCGCATTGACCTTTACAAGTGCCGATACTTTTTTTTTTAAGCTTTCTGTCAATGCCCGACTTCAAAAAAATAACAAAAAGATTTAAATTATTTATTATCTAATTCATTATAAAAATTATTAAATCCTTACCGGACAGATGTGGTGATAAACATGTAGTCAAGGTTGAACAGAGAGTAAGGAATTAAATTTTCATGGCAAGAACTGAAACATAAAAAAATATTTTCTAATTTACTAGGGAATAATTTTCCTGTTGAATAAATAACAAATCATACTCATTATTTTCCATCATTCATCATAAATATTAAATTTTATTAATAACCACGTAGCTTATTATACAAACAGGTTTTATATAAATTGAATAGCTGCTTGCTTATAATAAATTTATTAAATAATATTATTGATATTTATTTATCATGTCATCAAAATAACAATTAAAAATCCTATCTAAGTAAAAAGTTTTTAATTGAAAAGAGCTAATTATAAATTAAATATTACAAGTTAGCGTAAGTAGTTAGGAAGGGAAAACTTAATTGGACTATAAAAGAAGAAATGTAAAATAAAATCACGTAGAAAAAGAAAATATCTTACTAATTCAATAAAAATGACCAGTTACACTCGCCGTTAAACTTACTGAAGGACTTGAGTTGTTAAACTAGTGTTTTATTGGGAAAATCTTGGCTCTTAAGACATATTTATTGTTCACGAGCAAGTATGTCCTGATTCTTAATAAACGTTTCTGAGACGCTTGGCGCCTCTCCTCTATATATCCACGATAATATCATTGGCAAATCGAGAAGCTCTTACATCTTACTCTTGCGTTTAACTATTCATGTACTGTATGCAGTGTAATCTGATGTAGTATAATATGTGGAGAGAAGAGGCGTTATTAAATATTGCTCCCGAGAGAGCTATTACACTTGCTAAGTGCCAAAGCACTTTTTTATTGGCTTTGTCATCTTTATAGCGTTTTATATTTTTTAAAATAAACGCCTGTAGGCATAATAGTCACATCCAGAAGAAATATGTTGACAATATGTGAAAAAGTACCGGAATTGCGTTTGGCAGGCTTCATGTGCTTGCTTGTGAGTATAGACGCAATGCGTCGACCCCACTTCTATTTCATTCTATGCCAGGAAAATCCGCAATGGAATAAGACAAATAAGATTAAAGGAATATTACGTGACAGAGAATAGTCGGAGATTTTTTTTTCCAATACTGATTAAATTTATAGACAACGAAAAATTTTTTTTTCACAATTAAAGAAGATTGAAATTTTTTTTTAATTCTCTCCGAATTAAATTGTTACACGGAAAAAAGTAAACTGTAATAAATAATCGTCGATTTATAATTAGTAATGATTAACTGCTAAAAATTACTAGTTCAAACAGTGAAATTGTGATTTTAATAATCACTACACGTAAAAAAGAAAACTCGAAAAATTACAATATAAAATGTAAAATCGATCCCGTCGTAATCAAAACTAGAAAAATTACAGTTTGAAATAACATTTTTCTAAATTCAATTTTTTAATTTAATATTCAGAGCTTTCAATGTGAATTGTAAATATTACATTTTACAATGTAATTCTTACAAAATCTGTAATAATTACAATCTGAAACTGTAATTTTTCGAGTTTTCTTTTTTCCGTGTATGTACACTGATAGAAGGATTTGTTCATATTTAATAAGCTTTACTAACTGTTAATACATGATTTTTTAACATCATAGGATTTAATAAATATTTATTAGCTGTTAATAAATATTTGTAAACTATTAATAAATACTTATTAACTATTAATAAATGTACTATTCTTCCAAATAAACATTTATTGAATACTAAAAAATATTTATTAAAATTTAATAAATTAAATAATTGTCTTCAAATAAATCAAATTATTAATAGTTAATAAATCCTTCTATCAGTGTAATGTTTCTCATTTAAATGCTACGATTTATTCTTTACATGGAAGAAAATACTATTTCAAACAGTAATATTTGCTATGTGAATGTCAAAAATGTTAAAGTATAATAATTAAGAATTTTAACTTTGATATTTATCATTTCGTAGCTAAAAAAATGATCGCATGATATGTAAAAAGTATAAAATAGTTACTAAATTTTTAATACAAGCAACATCGATATTTACAAAGTAAAATGGTAAATTTTAAACGCAACGCTAAAAATGAAACTATAATTATTGAATTGTTTGGACTGGTAAAATATATATTTTAAAAATGGAATTTTTACTGTTTCAAATGTTAAATTCTCCTAGATTGAGACCCCCTTCTCCTCATCTGAGTTCCCCTTTTCCTCATAGTATGGACTATATATTGAAACGACAATTTTTACTGTTTAAAACTGTAATTTTTTAAGATGAGCGAGTCTTTATTTACTATAGTGACAGCTTTTAATCACTTATTTTCGATATTAAATTTTAAATTGTGACTTTTACACTTTCTACATCAAGTTCTGTAATATTTATGTTTTTACCACCCTGATGTCCGCTGTACTGTTTGAAACTATAAAAATTAACCGGAATCCGAGTGAATTTTACAGTTTACTTTTTTCCGTGCAATTAAAGAAGATTGAAATTTTTTTTTCTCTCCGAATTAAATTGTTACTTTTTATTGTTTTTAAAAGTGAAGTTTATAGAAATAGATTATCGACAAGTTTATGATTCACTTGAGAAACCAGTTCGACAAATATATATATTTATTAAACTGTCAGATGTCTTTTTCACATGACAGTCCATTTAAACCCGTATACATCTATTATACATGAATTATTTATATGAGAAAATAATAATTCATTTTATTCTGACAAGTGTGAATAAAAAAATTATTGTTTTCTTATACATGGCAATATTTTACAGAGTGACATTTATAATGTACCCTAATGGATTTTATAAACATGAGAAAATCTGTCCCTCGCTAGATTTCACGCCGTACCTGTCGTTATTATAACTGCATGTATGCTTATATATGTCCACTGAGCACTGAGCATGGATATATATGTCTCGTGATGCGGATAGGCGAGCAAACTAAATGTTGGATTAGCAATGCAAGTATTGTTATAGCAGTTCTTCGCGAAATGTAGTTTTGAATTTTTTTAGATCTCTTGCGCTGAGTCACTTTAAAATTCAAACTTTTTTGATGTTTAAACTATTAATTTCAGGCTTTTTTAGCGTTAAAAAATTTTATTCACGATAAAATTACTTATGTATACACACAATTTTATTTTATGTATCGTAGTTTTCCAAGAAAATTTAAATTCAAAGCTTATGCATGATATCGTGAACAATATTCACTGAAAAAAAAAAAAAAAATGGGTTATAAAATTTTAGTCATTATAATAGAAAGAAATACAAAGTTTTATATTTTATTTAAACAAATTATTGTTTTATAACTTTTATTATTGTTGAGATACTTTCCGATCCAAATAAAGAATGAATCCATGTATTTATTCTTTTTCAAGTTTACTTAGTATATAATCGAGTTATTATTTTCTTTTCATTTTTATTTATTCAAAATGATAAATAAATAAATGGAAATGATGATAAGTAGACAAGTTTTATAACAAAAAAATGATAAAGACTTTTAAAGAAAACAAGAAAATGTTTATTAAGTAATAAAGCCTGGTCACTTAATCATTCTCATGTTCAATGAACAGGACATGAATCACCATTAATCGTCGGTTCTTCTGTCATATGACAGACGAAAAAAGTCCGAGAAAAAGTTCCTCAATTTCCTGAATGTCAACTCAGGAACCTTTTTCACCATTATTCCTACTAAATGCATCTTTTGTCAATCCATTAATCGATTAATACACTTCAAATCGAAAATCAATAGCTCAATACTCGGCTATCAAGCGTCTGGAGAAGAAAAAATATGATATCATAAATCATACCCTCATTTTACTATTATTATGATGACTATACAACAAAATCGAATGGACATTAGAGTAATAAAAAAATTACCGAAACAATAACAAGGAAAGTTTATTTATAAAACGAGAAATATAATATTTGTTATTACGAGGGTTGACGACACAGGTTGATCTGTACATTTAAAAAGCAAATAAATGAAACTGACAGATGACATAAATATATATATATATATATATATAGATGTAAATACCAATACCAGTAATATATGTATGCACCTACAACAGGAAGAGGTGGTAGAGGTTTTAGCGCAATCGCAGAAGCATCTTAACACCGGTGTATCCGCGTGGCGCGAGTTAGAAGTTACATTAGCTTAGTGCTTTTAGTCTTTCATATATCTCAGTACACTTCCTACACACGCTGTTCATTCATTCTCATTTTGTGGCTGTTATCATACTTCATACATGTTTCGCTCGTGACCACAACATGGATAAATACAATAAAATTAAATCCCGTGTAAACAGCTAAGCAGTTTAAGCTGAGCTTCATGCAAAACTAAAGCTCACTAACAACATTATTAAAATCCACGTTGTCTTCTGTCGTTAATATTTTTGTTATTGTGTATAATTTGATAAAATGTGGAAACTAAATCCTATTATGCGGCTACAACATAGGTTTCTTCAATCGATATAAACAAAAGAAGTGCAAGCAAACAAGTGACTAGTTTTAAATCGAAAATACGAAATATGAGGACTAGTAAATAATTTTATCAGGAAAGAAAATAGAACAAAATAAATGTAATTATGGCATCGATAAAACCAGGGTTAAAAAAAACGGACGACATTAATGAAGAAATAAAAAAGACAACGATGGCGCAAAGAAGGTGGAGATTATTAGCGCGAGCATTAACTCACTCGTCAGAGCAATTAAATCCAGCAGAAGAAGAAATCTCAGTCCGTCGTTTCACTTCATTCGGATTGGTTAATCCAACGTTATTAGAAAATGCACCAGTAGATCCGGAATCATCCTGGTATGAGTACAGTTGTGTAATTGAAAACGAACTGTTCATTGCTCAAGTACGACGAATCAACAAGACCTTCACGGCAAATGAGCTTATTGGTTTTAATAACACCGGTAACGTGTGTGTATGGCCGTCTGAAGAGTGTTTGGCTTATTATTTATTGAACAATCAAAATATTTGCCGGGATAAAATGGTATTAGAGTTGGGAGGTGGTATGAGTTGTCTTGCGGGTGTATTTGTTGCCAAATATTGTGGACCCGCTGGTGTAACACTTACTGACGGCAACGTCACTAGTGTAGACAACGTAAGGTGTATCGTTGCCAGAAACAACATGGAAGACTTTGTAAAATGCGGTGTGGTGCAGTGGGCCAGGGCAGCTGCTGCACTTAGACAATCTGCCAACGGCAATCGAGTTCAGGTATATCCATACATATATATGAATTGTTTTCCTCTGCATTGTAATTTTGTTGGCACTAAACTATCAGGAGTTAACAATTTACTAGAGCTTTATTTTATTTTTTCATTTCAACAACAAACATAAATAAATAAATGAGGAGGGTTTATGCATATATTCTCATAAATTTAAAATAATTGCCGTGGACTTGGGTTGTTTCGACATCATTGCAACATAATTTCTAACATAATGCTAACTAACATGATTGATATTATAAAAACAGAAGCCAACTGGATTACAGAAGCCTAGAGTGTAATCTTTAAAGCTCTAATGTCAATAAGACCTTTAAATCTAAATCTTGCTTGTGTTTTTGGTTGTTATTTTTTAGACAACATGGTGTTCGGAAAGTGGCGACGATTCACGTAGAACAGAGGGCCTTTACGATGTGATACTCAGCGCAGATTGTTTATTTTTCGATGACGTGCGACTTGATCTTATTGAAACAATTTACGGTTGGCTTGCAGACGATGGAATTGCACTGATGATGGCACCTAAGCGCGGTACAACATTCCAGAAATTCGCTGAAGCGGCAGTCAAACGCGGATTCTTAGCAAGACAGATGGAATTGTACGATAGTCAAGTATGGTCAAGACATCTCGAGCTATTACAACATAATAATGAATACTCAGCCGATCTTCATTATCCTATTTTGCTCGAGCTTACTAAACAAAGAAATCCATCCGCCAGTTGAGAATTTTTTTTGCGACTATTTGTTAAAGTTTTTTGTTTATTTGATTGTTATCGATTTAATTGATTGAGAAATTTAAGAAAATCGTGATCTCTATTAACGTTAGATAAAAATTAGTTGAATAAAATATCCTAGTGGTTATTTTTTGGCAAAATATCAACTTTATGTCTTCATTAATTTACTTTCGTTTAATCTTGCCAAATTTTATGATAAAACATATCTTAATCCTCCTTTTTGTAATTCACGTTGAATAATTATTCAAACTCTTTTCTTTTGTTAAAAAAATAATGCAAAAGTGTGATTAAAAGGAATGAACATATATATATTTATTAAAATATAGCGAATGACTTTTATCACAAGGTTTTATCTTATCTTTAAAGTTTTGAAAACTATTTTCAAAGCCAAGCTGAAGTAAATGTGTTCTGTATATAAAATGTATGACTGTGATATTATAATTATGCTTTAAAATAAAAAATTTATTTTATTTCTGAATAAATAATTATTTTATTTAGAATCAAAGTTTTAAATTTATAAACTTTTTTCGAAGCAAATGTAAATATTTATATCTGATTCAAAAAATGAAGTTGAATTCTTGAAATGCAGATAAAAATAATAATGTTAGAGCGGATAAAAGTTGATACGTAAAAAGAATAAAGTTAAAGATTTATTTTAAATGTTAAATAACTTGAAATCGAGCGTACTATTCAGAGGTTAGGGCAATATATTGTGAGTTTTAGTTTAGTTATGGAGGATTTAGTAAATCGATATTACCTCAACTTATTTTTTCTTACTAAAAATATTTTATCTGATTGATAATAAATTATTAAAGTTACTATGCTTAAATATTGGATGATTTTAATGTAAATGGTTGTTTGTAACGTGAAAAGATAAAAGATTGTAATTTATTCAGGAAAGTAACCAAGTATTTTGTGTAGGGGATGTGGGTTTAACTCATGTTCTAATGACGATGAAACTAAGTAACAAGAGAAGCCTAATAATTAAGACCTTAGCTTGTATGCTTTCACTGCGTATCGTGTATACTCTGTATAGCTCCCACGAAGGACCAATCTAGTTAATACTAGTCAATTACTCTAATTATTTATTATGTTAATTAATTCAGATATATTTGTCATTGTTATTTATTGAGATGTATAAATTTTACTGTTGTAAATGATTAATCCATCGTTAAATATAATAAATTATTTTAAATTTATCTCTTCTTCATTAACTCTAATGTCATTAAAGGTCTTGTTCTACATTAGAAAATTTATTTTTCTCAATTATTAATTTAATTAATTTAAAGATTTAATTTTTTACTAGCAACCTTGCAGTCACTATGTGACTGCCGTGACTTGTGAACTGTAAATAAATAAAATTTTGCTTTATTAAATAATAACTTTTGTTAAATTGCATTGTACTTTCTTAAATATTCACGTTTTTAAAGATATAAGCTCATCCCGATGTTACACTCATCAAGAGCTTTCATTTGAGTACCCACATGCATTTTGATATATATTTTTCATATATACATATATACTTTATATAAATATATGAAAAAATGATGTGGGTACTTAAATGAAAGGTCTTAATGAGTGTAACATCGGGATGAGCTTATATATTTAAAAATGTCAATAGTTCACGAGATACATGGTCATTTCTTAATTATGTATCTAAAGACAGAGCATTTTTCAATGCAGCCTAAATCCTTATTATCATAAATTGACTATTGGTGAGAATGATATGAAACTATGAAAAGGCACAACTCTAGGTCAAGACTTTTCCAACGATACCAAATTTAACCATAAAAACCCATTTTATCATATAAATACACTGGCCGCAAAATTTTGCTTATTCTCTTAATAATATAGATGAAAAGTTTAATTTTCTTTTTTTTACAACGCTGAGAATAAAATTAAGAAACAAGATTTAAAAAATAATAATATAATGCCCGTCGAAGGTACATGCATAAATAAAACTGTCGACAGCTGCATCGGTTCGCGCTCCTGGATAATCATTAATCAATTTACCTCAAGTGTAATAGCCTCAGCTCGTCTAAATGTACTTGATAGAAAATTATAAATTTTGTTTACAATTTAAACTCAGTGTCCTGGTTTTAGTTAAACACTTTATAAATTACACTTTGAAATCAATTAATTTTAATGGCTCGCCGTTTACGTCAATCTTATTATATTACTAACTATATTCTTGCCCTTACAGCAATCAGTTTAACGATCATTTTTCACGAAAAAAAAAATCCTCCTTTTTGCATTTAAATTAAATCAAGAAAAATCGTTCTTTTTTTTTTTTAGAATAACGAAAATAATCAACGGTACATTTAATAGATGAATTTTATGTATGAGAAAGGAAGAAAAAAATTTTTCTACACCAACGACTAAATTTAAAAGCCTTTCCTAAAACGGTCTACACTCGAAGACACGACTGGCAACGTGGTGGAAAGCTTTTGTGACTTGAATTACACTAGTAAAAGTATACACTATGGTATATATAATCTCTCCAGCATCTTCAGCGCGGCTACTGTTTATACCAAAAAAATAACCGGGTCGAAAATTCAAATTTCATGAAGATTGAAGATTTTCATTGAAGTGTTTGGTCTAAAAGTCAACTCGTAAAGTCTCTGTGTTTATCAATTCACTGCCAAAAAGCGTCTCAGCTGTTTTTACGTAAACAAATTTAAAACGACTTTTGTATAGCCCATTTAATGTTGATTTACTAAATTAAAAAAAAATACATAACATGAAATAAAACAAAGGTTTAATTTATTGAAGATGTTTGCTATAAATTAAAGAGGAATCAACGAGCTACTCTACGGCAGAGTATGAGCATGTACCATTTGGATGCGCACGTACATATGTTTTGTGTATATTTGTGATTCAGTATGTTGTGACTGCTTAGTGAACTGTCCGGTTTCGCAAATGAATACTGTGTGATGTAGGGCCAACTAAGTTTATTTCTGTAACTCGTATTTCCTGTCGTATATCAATCGTTGGGACGCGTGCATTAGTTTTAATTAGTTTCTGACCCACTGCGACACGCAAACGATTCATATGCGAAATTCTAATTTTACATTGACATTGAATATGCCTAATGATAATGTAATTAATGAAATCCTCTAGAGAATACTGTTATTACGTATATTTATGCATAAAAACATAAAAGCGCTAGAGTTGATGTAACCAAGAATATTTTTTATTATTATAATAGAAACATTTAATGTTTGTTCGTATTGAAGGAAAATTAAATTATTTGAAATATAGAACTTTTTGTTGAACAAACCCGGGGCTAAGGAACTATGCATATTAGAGAAAAGCAAAACATGATATCTCTTGCAAGCGCTCGGGGCAAATCAAAACAATATTGGTGAACAAAAAAATTTTTTTTTTATAAAAATGTTTACCTACAATGCTACTTCATTTACCCTATTCAATAATTTATTATAAATCGAACAAAAAATCAATAAAAAATACGAAAAAAATATAAACTCAGTTATTTAGTTAATTTATTACTAGCAACTAGCAAATTGCACTCTAGTTTCTTAACTATTGACGTTTTTAAAGATATAAGCTCATCCCGATGTTACACTCATTAAGAGCTTTCATTTGATTACCCACATGCATTTTTGATATATTTTTCATACATACATATATAATATATATAAATATATAAAAAAATTGATGTGGGTACTCAAATGAAAGGTCTCGATGAGTGTAATGTTGGGGTGAACTTATATCTTTAAAAATGTCAATAGGTCACAAGATAAAAGGTAATTTCTTAATTATTGACATTTTTTGAGAAATAAACTAATTTTGATGTTACACTCATCAAGAGCTTTCATTTGAGTATCCACATGAATTTTTTATATATTTTTTATATATACATATATATTATATATATTTATATAAAAAATTGATGTGGGTACTCAAATGAAAGGTCTTGATGAGTGTTACATCGGGATGAGCTTATATCTTTAAAAATGTCAATAGTTCACAAGATACAAGGTCATTTCTTAATTATGTGTCTCGAGATAAAACGTTTTCGAATGCAATCTAAATACTTATCATAATAAATTGACTATCGGTGAAAATAATATGAAACCTTGAAAAGACACAAATTCAAGTCAAGACTTTTGTAATGACACTAAATTTAACTAAAAAAAACGATTTTATCATATGACTCTTAATATTCTCTTAATAATATAGATTTGATACACATGTGTAACAAATATTAAAAAAACATAAAACCAAAAAGCTTAGTAAAAGAAACTTTGTCTTGTTTATATTGGCAACTATAAAGCTTTCTTACGATTCTAAAGATATATTTGACAGTTCTTGATTCAAGAATCGTTTGTTCTTTTTAGAAGAAAATATTTGACGTGAAAAAGCTGCTTCGGATCTAAAACTAATTTCAAAACATGTTTCTTGATAAAATTCATTTGTCTTTTTATTCCTACCTAACTCTTTCATTTTATTAATTTTTAATTAAAAATTTTAACTTTGCCTTTATCACTATTGAGTATTGAATAATAAATTTATGTTTTTTAACAGTTTGAAAATTAACTAATTAGTTGAAAGAGCAACCACTTAAACTTTTACTGAACTTTGCCGGAAAAACTCTTATCTAGGCTTTAAAAAATTCAGATGATCCTTGACATCTCAAGCCTTTCAGTTTCCGACTCCTTTTCAATATTTCACAACATAATTAAATAAATAGCTGTGTATAATTCTGCACCGTAAAAATATTAATAATTTTCTGTGAAACATCCTATACTACACTAACAAGAATGAAACTTGCATAATTGTATAAAGAAAACTAATTGCGTCGAATTCGGACTCAATTCGAAAACAATTAAGTTGATTATCGAAAGACAGAAGACTTTCATATCTATATACGATCATGCAGCGAGATCAATTGAAATTGGAATGGCAACAGGACGTTGGAGAGCGGAAATGAAGAGGCAGATGAAATAATAAAAGGAGTGCCAGTGAATGATATCCAATAATAACAACAACAATGTTAGCAGGAGTCACTTTCTCATGAGTTGGGGTCGTATATACTTACAATTAATAAAGGTTTTGGATAGAAAATAAAAAAAATGAAACAAATTATTACACGAGTCATTTACAATGGAATAAAAAAAAAGTTAAATGTAAATTAACTAGAGAACGTGCGGCACGTGCAAATGACTATGGTTTACAACGCTTGTATACAGTCATATAAGATCTAGAGGAGAGTAAGAGCATTCTGTTGAGCGATAAATTCCAAATGTGAGATTCAATTAACTTTAACCAATACACACTTGAGCTGTTTTACTACATTGTACGTGTGATCATTAGAACTAGATGGAAGATTTCTGAATTGCAAAGCTCATTGCGGGCTAAAAATGCGGGTATCTCGATAAATATTTTACTAAATAATCATTTGCATTATCTTTACAGGTATTTGTTGTCTCTCGTTTGAAAATCTAGAAAATATCATTTTCACGGGAGTAAAAATAGTATACATACCTTGGCCAGTAAAAAGTAAAGCCTCAGACCACATGTTTGTCAACCTCGGCTTCGCCTCGGCCAACAATTACATGTAGTCTGAGACTTTTCTTATTTTACTGGCCTAGGTATGTAATCTACTATTGATTTAAGAAAATTTTATTTGATTCAAGAATTTTTTGTTTTGATTCAAGACAATTATACCCTCTTCAAAATTATATTCTTGGTTCAAGAATTTTTCTTTTAAATCAAGTTAATTTTTTTTTCAATGTGTGAAAATGTTATGAGAATTTTTAAAGCTGAAAGGAAGCAATTATTCCTATAATTGACGTCATTTGATTTAAATGATACAGTAAAATTTAATTAGTAATGGAAAATGTTGCAATTAGATATTAATCCAGACAGAATTTCAGATTTAGTTTGAAGAGCCAGCTTATAAATAATTAGTTTACGAGAAATAGAATCGACTAATGATATGGCGGATAATAATTATTAAATAGACAGCAAACTGCTTCTATAAGTCTATTTAAACATAATTTAGAGTTGGATTACGAGTAGGAAATCGTTTGCATTATAAACGTAAATATTCGCACTAAACCATTTCGTTCTAAAGTATATAAGCAGACTGCAAGTTCACTGACAGTAATAAAACCCGATCGAATAATGTATAATGCTTACTGCACACATGTCCGAAATATATAGAATGTGTGCTATGCTACAACACCTAAATAGACATCTTGAGCGTTGTGCAAGGACGTGATAGATCGAATATTGATTGCCATGCAATTTTCGTAATTTTCAGCTCCAGTAAATTGATGAGCTACAAATTATATTCTAATCCATGTAAATTTTATTACACCCTGGCAATTTGCGCAATTAATTTCGAATAATTAGAATCTTTATTATTATTTTTTTTTATTGTCATTAATTAACGCATGATAATACTTCTGTTTATTGTTTCGTAAATAAATCAATTTTTATTTTTATTCAAGTTTTATTGTACCACGTAATAATCTGTGTATAGAAATACAAAAGCTGGTGAGTCTATTCAGAATGTGAATGACGTGAATAATGACAATTATTAACTCCATTCATACCGGTGAATAAATTATACTTATATTTAGCTTTTTTCATAGAGGAAAAATCGAATAAAAAAATAAAATAACTCTTAATTTGATAAATTGAAATTGAATTGTAAACGTGCTGAAAATCGTTGCAAATTACAGATATTCAAACATCGCGCTCTATTAATAATGTCACCTATTTATAGAAACAGTGCTATAAATACCCAGTAAATCAGGCTGCACCAAACCGTCTAGACCACTAACGATGCATCATCTTCGTGATCAATGACAGTATTTTTTTGTTTGTTCTCTACAACTTTTCAGAATTACAAGTTCTTGTTTTATTTTTATTCAATCAAAAGTGGGAACTTTATTTGGTTTATTTTTTTTTTTTCAATTTAAAATAGAGTGAGAATCACTTCTATTGTAATTGTTTACTTTTTATATACACTGTACGTAATAGAAACCTGTTGCTGTCGGTTATCAGCTACTGGATAGCAGAGATTGCTTTCATCCGTAACCTTTTAAAAACTCACGAGAAACTTTTTTATTTATACATCATGCAATCTTCGGTGAATTTTTTTTTTCAAATAAAAATTTTTTTTACTAAAATTTACAGCGAAAATAACATCTATAAAATTAAACTAAATAAACTTGAGTTTCTTAATGTAATCCAATTTTTTTCCGTAAGTTTTCTGGCCAGTAACAATAAATTTATTATTGATGGATTATTTTTTACTGTAATTCTGATTAAACTCTGGGAAATTTTTATGTGGCTTCAACTGTATTTAATATTTCAAAGTATAAAATAAAAATTAATCAAAAAGATTAGTAAAAATTAAAATTCTTAAGCAGTTTTAAAAATTAAAAAATAACTTTGATAAAGATTGTATGTAAATTTTTCCATAAAAATTTTTCATCAATTCCCGGGAGTCTTTGATTTCCAATGCACAATAAAAGTAACTATTTCATAATTAAATTCTTCTCGTACATTCTTTTTCCCTTTAAAAAATTGAAATTTATATCAAAAACTTTTTAAAACACTACGATAACTCCTGTAACGTACTTTCAGATTACAAATGAATAATTTAATTCAATTAGCTGCATAAATACCAAGTTTTAAATCAAAAACAGCTTATAATTATTTATAAACTGGAATAACGGTAGTCTTAATTTCGAAAATTGATATTAGAGCAAAGCATATTACGAAAATAACAAGCTTATGTAGCAGTTAACGGAGTCGAGAAGCGACACAAGTAGATGAATACTAGCTATAGCCAGGCGCACGATGTTCCGTGTTCTCTCGTCCTAATGATGTCTTTATGGTATATTACCATAATATCACAAAGCTTGTTTCATGAATTACTCAGCTAGACATCAAATAACAAAATTCCATTGTGAAGAACAAATGAAAAATGGCATATATAATAATGACAGATCCTAAAATACCCACTTCACATTTACATACGGTACAGTAATCCCAGATTATATTACCTAAACATATGTAGCACATATCCTTTTTCCCTTGTGACAGGGGGTCGCTAAATAAAGCATTCAATTCTGGTTGTTGAAGTCAGTTCACAAAATCTAGAAAGACTATAGTCAACAAAACAACAATAATAACCACGAAATATGAGCTTTGGAGCTGACTAAAAGTGTTTTTGCCGTTGAAGGATAATGATAAATGATATCTTTAAAAATAATACAAATACAAACAGAAATACTCTGTAATAATACAATAATGTCGTATAACTATGTTTGCCTTGTCATATTATTATGACACTATTATTCTATTTTCTTCCTACTTAATGATGTAATTAACTCGTTGACATTAGTTGCGATGAATACCACATTATGAATAAATATATTATTAAATGCATTGCGGTTACGTCATAAAGGATTTACTTGTATTAAACCTCATAATTACGTCGGCGTTGTATAATTTTCTTACTCACTGTCCTTTGAATTAATTATTTTATTTTCATCGTAAATTATATTTCTGAAAAAAAAATTTCTATGATAGAAAAGATATTTTTCTCGTTTCGAGATTGTACAATTGTATCTCTTAATGACACGCAATGACTCGAGAAGGTTAAGGTAATGTGGGCAATGTTATTGATATCTACCATCGGCATTTATTATCATCAGATACGTGCGGCAATTATTAATAATTAAAAGGCAAACCATTAAGACTGATGCAAAAAGGACACTTTTTTTTATATATCATAATCAGAATCAGAAAATAAAAGTTTTTATCAACATCAACATGGTATGGGAGCTAAAAGTTTCCTAATGGAATTTCGTTATCGATACGGAGAGTTTAATTCAATTTGTTATAAATTAAAAACAGTAATTAAGTGGAATAAAATATACCGCCGCTTGGAATAAAAGCTGCTTTGAACGTCGGTTGAAGCTTTTAAACATGTAAATTTAAATTTTTAGTTACTTTGACGTTACGCTCAATAAAAAAAAATTTTAACTATCATTGAAAATATTTTTCTTTAATTTAACAGACTAATTACAAAAATACGAATAAAATTTAATTAAAAAACAAAAATTTCTCATAAATATTATTCTTGATAGTATAAAAAATATCAAAATTTATAAAATCGATTTGTTATTGAAAAATTTACATAACTGATAAATATTTTTTGTGAGCAGATGCACCAGCTGTTACAATTTAATATTATCCGCTTAAATCTCAGTATTTATGATTCTTAATTTAATACAATATTGCTTATAGGGAAGAATTTTTAGTAAAGATTTTCCGGCGGTTGAAGAAGCCCTTTAAGCCTATACATGAGTGTAATTCTCTCGCTCTGTTTTATTTTCGTGAGTAGAAGCAATAAAATTTACACCTCCAATATACCTTAAGTGAAACTTTTTATAACAGCGATACTATCGACACATGTTCATTTTATCTAATACTTGTACTATTTTTAAAACTGCAAACTACTTTTCATTGCATTGGTGTGATCTATCGATGCAGACCTCAAAGATGTAGTCCAACCGTAAACGTGTTAGGATTCTAATACACATCTATTTATATTATGGCACATAAATAGAGAAGAGTATCAGAAATACACTACAAAGTGTCTTTCCGGTAACGACTCGAGGGATGTAAAAGCAAGCGTTTGAGAGCGGAAGTGCATGCAGTAATACACCCGTATAATACATTCAATTTCACCTACTCTACTTTTGTTTGTCCTCAGGGCGGACTATTGGCAATCTCAAGGTCGGAAATTCTGCGACTTCTGCAAGTGTTGGATCGCTGACAATAGAGCAAGCATTGACTTCCATGAAAATGGTAAAAAACACAAGGAAAATGTCACCAAGAGAGTTAAAGACATATACAAGAACAGCACCAAACAAGCCAAGATCCAGAAGAAATTTGAAAGCGATCTTGAATATATGGAAAAGGTGAGTCGACTTAATTTTTATTTTATTATTTTTTTTGTGGATTACATCATAAAAATTCATGAGAATTATTAACATACTTCTCGATAATAAATCAAATTTTTCCTCTCAATTTTATCAAAAAAAAAAAAATTTTTATTTGGCTCATTACTATTAACTAGTAACCTTGCAGTCACTATGTGACTATCGTGACTTGTGAACTATGAATAAATAAAATTTTGCTTTATTAAATAATGACTTTTGTTAAATTGCACTGTAATTTTTTAGCTATTGATGTTTTTAAAAATATAAGCTCATCCCGATGTTTCTCTCATTAAGAGCTTTCATTTGAGTACCCACATGAATTTTGATATATTTTTCATACATACATATATATAATATTTATATAAATATATGAAAAAATGATGTGGGTACTCAAATGAAAGCTCTTGATAAGTGTAACATCGGAATGAGCTTATATCTTCAAAAATATCATTAGTTAACAAGATAGCAAAGTCAGTTCTTAATTATTGATATTTTTTAAGATATAAGCTCATCGAGATGTTACACTAACCAAGAGCTTTCATTTGAGTACCCACATGCATTTTTGATATATTTTTCATATATACATATACATATTAGGGTGGCGCAAAAAAACCGACTATTTTTTTGTTTTGAGTCTCGATTGAAAAAATGTTAGTTTTTGATGTTTTAAGAGCCCTCACCAAAGGACAGCTCAAAAAAAAATTTTTAAGAGGTCACTCCAAATTTTTCAAAATTTCAAAAATCGTCAAAAATCAAAAATTTTTTTTTTTTAATTT